CTTCTCATGCAATACGCCACATCCTCTAATACTCTGGCATCAAGAAAAGAAATTATATACTAACAGAGATGATTTTCCATCGTTGTTGTTTGCCTGTTATGATTACATCGGCCAAATTGCAACCATATATGAGGCTTCGATGCCTTCCCCCAGGTAATTCCCTTCCTTGGCCATAGGAAGTCAGAGGATCAACAACTGGCCAATCATCAGGAATCAGAAACAACAAAAGATGATTTTATATCATTGTAACAATAGGCTAAATCCGGACTATCACCACATTTCTAGCCAGAATGGGGATCACAAGAAGACCATGTGACTAGGTTGTAATGTTCTTTCGACGTGTACGGGTTAATGTTGTTTTGAAGTAAGCTAAAAACTTACCTTCATCCAAGAATTATTGCATCCTTATCTAACCACAAAATCAGGTGACTGATGAGATCGAAGCTTCCTGTCAACCACCGGCCAGCTGGGACAAAAAGCTTGGCCCCACCTTTGTCAGCAAATGAATTGAGGTAGAAGATGGCATTCTGAAAGGCTTTCGTATTGAGAGTGACACCATCTCCAACCGCCCCAAATTCGGTAATAGTGACACTGTGAGGTCGAATCTCCCCGGGGTCTGTCTGTTTGCAATGTGAGCTGCCCTTGACAGCCCATGTAATATGACTCAAAAATGTAACTACTAAAAGTACATTCATCATCTGAAAAGAAATGGTTTTAGAGGTTAACATGAATGGTTGAAATCATAGTTTAAACAACTTGCCTTCCCCATTTTTCTTTGGTTACTCTGATTCCCGATTGTCCATGAGATGACAATCTATTAATTAAGTAATTTAGATAAGAATGACTATTGAACAAACTCAAGAGTTCAAAATGCAGATATGCACAATCTACTAATTTAGATAAGTATGACCATTAAGCAGACTCAGAGTTCAAATAACAGAAAACGAAAGCCAGATTAACAACAATGTGAATCAAACTAAGCCCGAAAATAGGGGAAAAAGTTACTCACAGATTGATGGAAACAAGAAGGTATGCACAGAGACCTAAAGCTAATCTAAAATGGAAGAAGGAAATGCATTAGCTCACAATCATTACCAGTCTCCCACCCTAAAAAAAGAAGCTAAAATGAAGAACTATTTGCTCATTGAGATCCTAACAGTGATCTTGTTCGGAGTCCAGAAAGCACAAATTTAGACCATTCCAGGAGAAAGAAGTAAAAACTTAAAACAAGAAAACAGAAAGTCAAAAAGGAAAAAACAATGATCGAACAACTCACATTGAAAGATCTCTTCATATGAAATAATGAATGGGATCTGCAACTTTCCCTTTCAATCCAAGCAGCTAGGCAGAAAACTTGGGATGCTCCAACTCAAGTTCTTTTTTTTTATTTGTTAAAAACAGAACACTTTGAAGAATAGAGGAAGAGTTGTCTTCTCCTTTTCTTCTGATCAAGAATAAGATCCTTTCTCTAGCTAGCTAGTAATCAAGTTGCTGTGGCGGAGACAGTCTATGGGTTATTAGATGGGTCACTGAAAGAACTACCACCACCACCCAAATAAAGATAATTGAAAGTGACCGTCGCTGCCCACCAAAAACTAAGCAGTAGGTCCCCCTTATGTCTTCACTCGCTCACTCTCTTCCCACAACTGATGAGAAGAAATGAAGAATTACCCAGAAAAAGTTAAAGCTTTAAGGAAGCTGAACACAGGTAAGGTAGAAAATGGATGATAACGATGAGATAAGATGGAGTGGTATACATATACATATTTATATTCAGATGAATAAACAGGGTGCTTTTTGGTTTGGTATTGTATATGTGACTGCCGCTGGCTTGAGTTTGGTGGGAGAATTTCATGGAGATTAAAAGTCTTGCACGAGCCAAGGCATTTTCCTATCTCATTTCATGTGATCCCACGCTTTCGGTTAAGATTTTAAAATCCTTAAAAAAAAACAGCTCTCTCCATGATCATCACGAATCAAAGAGCCATTTGCTTTTTCTTCCAACTAGTAGTTTGTTACACAATATGCATAAAAAAAACAAGCAAAAATTTTGATTTTGGGAAGGGGAATTACTTCCTGCCAATGCCTATAGAGAGAAAGAAAGACATACAATTTACAAGATCAATAGTGACGTTTGCTTTGTCCAAATTAGCCTTTTATGTAACTGGTAGAACATGGCACTTGGAATCATTAATCCCGAGTTCATCGTTAAATAAATAAATGAAGAAGAAAAAGAGGTAAAAACTCAGAATTTTCCCCGGTAATATCTCTTAGCTTAGATTGACTGAAATGGGCTTGACCAGTCCAAGAGGAACCAACCAGTACCAGTGCTCTGCCAGCTGAGCGGATTAAACCAGTGAACTCGGGTTGTGGTGAACTCACTGCCACTGCCCTTTGGAACTTGAAACTCAGGGTTTAAGCGTTTGACCCTTAGATAAACCTTAAAGAAGGGAATGAATTCCCAGTAGAGAACACGAGAGACTAAATTACAGTAATAAATAAACAGTCCAGTGACTTTTTTCTCTCTCTAAGAAAGACAAGGTATCCAATGACCAGACAGTCCTATACACAGAGAGCTTTCCTTTGTTTTGGTCACTGTCAACGTCAACATTCACGCTCCCGCGTGCATGGCTCGGCCCTTTAACTTTTCTAAAGAGATTATTAGCTTTGTGTGATGTTTATGTAACCTTAACTTCACCAAAATCTATTTTAGATTTGCATTCTTTATGCTTGTCTCACGAACAAACAGGAGCCACAACCTTATAGAACATCTCTATTAAGCTCTGTTATGTTTTTTTTTACCTTTCTTTAAATAATCATGATATTTTGGTATATAGCCAAAATAAACCTTGGATTTGGACTAAGATCAGTAAGCTACTTTGACCCCCAAAATCAGACGTTCATTACTGTATAAAGATTCCACAAATTTAATGATGGAGATTAAGACAGAAGGGTTTTACAAGAACAACTCCATTGACATTTATGAAAGTGACAATTAAAGGAACATGCATAAGGGAGGTTTTTGCCTTTGACGTTGGGCAATGACTTTCATTTTGCATCATGACCAATGTGGAGGGCTGAGTTCTTCAAAATTAGTCTTCTACTCATGTGAACAGAGCTAAAATCAAATATTAAATAGAGTAATGATCAAGTATTTAAAATTGCATATAAAGAGAGACAAACGTTAGCCAAATAGAATACTTTTGCATTCTACTACTCTAAGAAAGATCCAAAAAAATTACGAGATAAATCATAAATGAGTACCATACATTCACATTGATTAATGGGATAAGGGAGGGTTTATCCTCGATATTAATTATTAATCTTGTCACACTAGACTTAACTCTCTCCGTATTCTTAACCTCTAAAAGATAATAGAATCCATATAGGAAAAAATAGAATAATTCTTGCCAAAAGAATATATGAAATTAAGAATACACGTCGTCAGGGTCGAAAAAACTATTTTATTGGTCGAAAAACATTGTGGAGATTTAATCACGATAATTTAAATGCATCAATACTGGATTTTATATATTGAAAATAATTCGAGTTTGGGCAACACGAACATGGCAAGGATAAGGGACAATTACTGCAATGTGTCCCCTCCATCCCAACAACAATGACCCCTCCAATTAGCAAAGAATATGTCCGTACATTCAAATTGACCGTTTCTTACTTTTTATCACTCTCATTGGATCATAAGATTCTACTTTCCCTTCCTATTGGAACGCTTTGTTTAATATTTTTAATTTAGTTTTATTAATGTGTGGCTCTCCTGAGAGTTAGGTGATGTTTGTTTTTGTAGAGGTAAAAGGTCAGCAGTCTGAGGATCATATCTATAGCAGAAGAGGTGAATCAAAAATCTACAGTAAGCAATAAGAAGACTGTTTTTTTTAACGTTTGCAGACTGTTAAAATAAACTGTAATATAAATAAACTGATTTTTTAAACTTAAAATAGTTTTGCAATACTGAAATTTAAATAATTTTAGTTTTATAGCAATCAGGGTTTTTTTAGGCGAGGGTTTTTGTTTTTAATGTTCTTTGAAGAGGTTTGAAGAGAGAATGTCACGTCTGCGTCAAGAAGAGGACGCACAGACGTTTTGAGAGCTACTGTCTTCTAAAAAAACAAACGGTCTGCGAAGTCCAATGTCTGCGCGTCGTCTACACGGAGCAGCTTTGAAGACATTTTTTTAGAAAAACAAACACCACCTTACAGTAAGTTATTATACGGACGAAATACCAACATTACATATTTTTAAAACATTTATTTATTTTAAAATTATATTTAAAACTATTCTCATCACATTAGTTATGATCCAATATATCTAGAATTATTCTCATAGTGTCTCATCAGTTGGGAGCAAACTTTGTGACGTTGGTCTGACTAGTAGGATATATTTTGTGTCAAATTGAAGAAGAAACGGTGCGGAACTTAGGTTTGTTAAATTTTCTGTTGCATTTATTTCGATATCTTAACTCTTTTGTAGGTTTCATGGTGCCACTGTGGAATCTCTAGAATAGGCGAAATAGGCTGGTGTATGATGATCTCTTTCAAACATAATTTTTAAAAGGTTAATGAGATGTCAGATGGGAGAGAAATCCAGAATTGTGACTGCTGAACTCCTTGGTGAGGTAATTCACTGGACGCATCTCGCGATGTGGGTAATGAAGATTAATATAGATGGCAACTTCGACCCAACTAATGCGACAACCACCATTGGTGTAATTGCATGTGATGCTGGTGGAAGAGTGCTTGGTGGGCTCGTAAAGACTTTTCCTAGATACATAAACCGAGGCTAGCTGAAATTCATGTCGTGAAAAATACTTATAGGAGGATAATATCTTGTCATTTGGGCTAGCCAGCCCAAAACAATGAAATAAGAAAATCAGAGCTTAAAGGTGCCTTGTAGGGTTGAGCCTATTAACTTGATAGCTATATAAATAAGCCAACATATATTTCCATACACCGAAAACATAAAGTTCTATGGCCCAATGTTCAAACCTCTTTTACACTATTCTTTAAAAGTATCGTTCATTCGAACTTTTCATCGAACAAGTAGCGAGCGAAATTTGCAATAAAGAACCATGTCGCCTAGAAACAAGGCCTCCAAAAATAAGATTCAAGATGCCTCCGTTTCTCAACAGCAACTGTTGTCTTCTTCTTCTTCTTCTTTTCTCATTATATATGTTGTTTAAAATTTCAGTCATTTGATTTACCACTTTTTTTTTGGGGGGGGGGGGGTGTCTGACAGTTGCTATGAAGGGGAACAGCTTGTTAATGTGCTTAAATCAATCCAAAGGTAAGTGACTCAAAACAAATTATCGATAATTAAGAAAACAACCCTTTTTTCGCATTTCAACTACTTCATAAATTTAAGTACTTCAATGAACAGAGGGATAGAGTCGGCGAGAGTATTGGCTGGAAACTCCTTGCCTGAGAAAGTGTGGCTTAAGGTTTGATGTCTTGCCCAATGATTTATTGAATTTGATTTGATTAACCTCGTGGGTTTATTATTGATCTGATTATAGTATTTATGGCATTAGCAACAATTTGCAATTGGTGTTAATGATGTAACCCGTGTACTTGAACGGATGCCACTCATCACCGACGAGGGATGCACCACCCAGTCTCCTTGTGTTAGGCTTCAGGTTGGCCACCCTGTTTTTACCTTTGGTGTTTGAAGTAATATCTCGTGTTTTAATAACAAGCTTAGTTAGTTTGTTTATTGCTCAAGATTTGGTACATGTTTGTTGCGTGTATAGGCTATTTTGTTAGCTGCTGATTGCAATTCAAAGTGGCTGACGAAGCACCTACCCATGTTGGTTAAATCCAGAAAGGTGCCATTGATCATTGTTAGAGATGATAAAAAGGGGTCCTTGAGACTGGGCGAGCTTGTAAAGCTAAAAACAGCAATTGCAATTGGAGTAAAGGTTAGGGGTCTGGGATTTGCAGATTGTTTTTATATCACTTGTGTGGGTATTGACAATGTGCTGAATTATTTGTCTCTCAAAATTTAGGCTCGAGGAAGTGCTATCAATCAAATAATGGAGGGAATTCTTGATGGTGATGAACTGAATCAAGAAGCAGCGCTTCAAGTTCAGTGACTTGCCTGTTATTTTGTTAGCTCATTGATTATAGCAAATACAAAATAGTTTCTGTTATCTGAGAGTTCAGTTGTTTCCTAACACATTTCCAAATATGAATATAAAAAGATGTGATCTTTTGTTTTTTCTTCTTCCTCTTGGAGCAGCAGCTCTCCCTCCTCCTTTCCTTAGGTTTGTTTCTAGCTTTGGACCGACAGTTTTGGTTGTTGCACCGTTGTGGTTTATCATGCAAGAAAAATATTTAATAAAAAGAAAAAAGATGAATTACATTTACATCCACTTCTCGAGGAGAAGAACAAAAAACAAGTAGAAATATCCAATAAATGATGGTTGGAGGAATTTTAACCATTGGAAAGCGTAAAACATCTTTTAGAATGGTTCTGGTGGCACTACGTTCAAACTCCGAATCCATTCACAGAAGCTGGGATCATCAAAATGAATGAAACCGTTTTTCAGTTTCATCCGTTGTTCTGTTGTAAGGGTTCGAAGCTGTGGAAATCTTGCCTCCTGCACAAACATCACGCCATAGTTGCTCAATACTTTTCTGAATACATCATTTTTCAGTAAAATACAAAGATAAAAACCTATTATGACTAAAACCGAAAAGGCTTTCCCTTTATTCTTTTTCTTACCTGCTCGTAAGGAGGATCCTTGTGTGCTGGTATCAACCGAGAAACAAAATATCGAGCCTGAGAGCTCCCCTCCTGCAACCAAACCTGATCATTAGGTTCTTTTTCCTCTCATGGTTAAGAAGAATACGAAGAAGAGGGGGAGGGGGAGTCCACAACAATGCACAGCTAATAAAAGGTGGAGCAAATCAAGAGGGGAAAATAAACCTTAAATGCAAGGATCCGAGAAGCTGGAAATCGTATCTCTACAAGCTGTCAAAGCAGCAGCACTTCTTGCTTCATCAGCTGCAAGTTCAGCACCCTGGGCCAGCAGTTGAGAGGAAGATGCTTACAATTGTCCCAGAAATAAATAAATAAATAAACAAACAAACAAACAAATGTAGAAGAGTGAAAAAGTAAATGCAGACATCCAGTGTCAGATTGTCACAGGGTATACGCATCTATATAATTTACAAAGTGATTATAATATAGACATCAGACATGTTAGACGGATGAAATTGTTACTTTCTGCATTTAGGAAGAAATGCCTTTTAGCTTGGCACTAGCTTTCAGACTCTACATAAAATATTCGATCTTGTTTTCAGTCACAGTATGAAATAGGACAACATACAGCACAAACATACATGCCAGGATCCAGGGTCAAAGATGAATTAAATAGAAGCAACTATAGTAGATATACAAGCTAAAGCTAAAAGATGGTTTAATTTACATACCAACCAAACGAAGACATCTGTACCATGGTCTAGAACAAGCGCTGTATCAGATTGCATAACAAGATCATAAGCTGGCAATTCTTCAAATGTGCCTCCTTCCCGATGCCTCAGACAGCGAGGGGCAACCATGAGAAGAGAAAGATCAAAGGACGCATTCAAAAACAAATTTCGTAGTACAGATCTCTCATCCTCATGTCCAACTATATTTCCCAACAATGGGCCCCGCCTAAGATGGAACAGAAGCTCTGGTAGTAGAGAGATTTCCTTTGGGAACCGATGAAGCTCTGACTTTGGCACTTGACAGCTAAATTTTAGAGCAATGTTTTTAACTCTTTCATCTATTGTTGTACGCATATCAATTGCATCGGAATAACTTTTTGCTCCCAAGAGAGTCCTCTTGGCAATTAGGACAGCAGCCACCTTATCTTCAATACTTTGAAGATATTCTGGAACACTATCAACAGTTGGCAATCTGATAGTAACCACTCTAGTTATATCTGCTTGATAAACATTTGTGTATTGAATAGAAAACTGGAAAAAAAACCAAAATAACTCTTGATGTCATGCTTATTCTCCATCGATATCGAGAAGCATTGTGTTTCTTCAACACTCGGCATCTGAATACGAACAGAAATATCATTATTAAAGGTTTCATGAGCCTCTTAACCAGGACCCACAACCTGAGTAATAAGAATATCATCAGAACAGCGTATCTCCAACAAACCATGGGAACCAGCAGCCCTGGCAGATGCCCTTTGTAAGTTCATACCAAAGACTTTACTGAAATCATCATGAAGAACAAAAGCACCCCCTGAAGCTTTTGCAAGAGGCAGCAGCACAGGAACCCTTACAGGGCAAGTTCCAGCACAGAGAATGTCAACCACTGTGTTTTGTTGATGAGCCTCACGACCAAGATGCTCCATCCATTTTAATGCACTCTTTTCCTTATGAGGATAATTAGGGTGAGTATAAGAATAAGGAACAGATTCAGGGCCATAAGTATTTGGTCCACCAGCGCATACAATGATTCTGCTGTTAACACCTGGCCTTTTAACTACACCTCGAGAAAAATCTGCAGATGGCCCTTGAATAATAGCCAGAGCAACCTCAACCGCAGCACCCAAACACCTATCTCTTGATGCTTCTGGAACATTCAACTTGTATGGCCTCAATGACGAGAATATCAGGTGTGCCACCTCTTTTGAAGCATGCATTGGAGACAAGTATATACCTGTTCAGTAAATCAATGCTTTCAAGGTCTCCTGACTCGGTGAAGAACCACCTGGAATCACTTCAGCCGACGCAACAGATTCCTCTGAAAATTCATAGACTGATACTGTGTGACCATACAAAATGATTTCAATTCTTGTTGTTGATGGAAATGAATCAACAAGTGCATGCAGGGAGCTCTGAAAATGCTGAAGGTGTGGCTCATCTAAACATTCATCAATGACAAGAACAACCATTGCAGAAGTTCTCGAATCAGTAACTGGTACAAAACATGGTCTCTTATTTCCTGGTTGAATGTAATCAACAAAAGCTGATGACAAGTCAGGAAAATGACGAAGCTCTTCCTTGCTCAATGCTATATATTCGCCTTCACTTCCATTTAGATTCCCACAGATTACACACTGCCATTGGCCTGAGCCAATTAGTATATTGGAATATAGATTCGAATATGCTCCACAATCATGGCATCGATGAGGATCCCGTTGTACCACTTGGGGACCTGGTGAATTCTCCCTCCCAGAAGACACCAATACTCCAAAACCTAAACTAGGTACATTGGCTTGTTTCTTGTGTTTCAGCACCTGACACAAAATAAATGGAAGAGTACAAATCAATTATAGATAGAAATAGTGCATATAACTGCAGAGGTAAATAGGCTGTAAACTTTAATAACATGTACATAATCATAAGGACTTCGATAGAAGAATCATATAAAATAGACATTAAAACAATAAAAGTATTTCAGCTTCTCATTTCATCCCTCAAAGAATAAGAGATACCTTATGAGCAGAGAATAAAACACAAGGTGACTTTCCATCGGGCACAGGTTCCTCTATAGCACTAGGAAGTTGTTGTTGTGCCCCCACTGACCCATTCGAAAAATATCGTGGTGAAGATGTGGGCAAAGATGAGCCTGATGAGAGAGCAGTTGGCTGGGGAGTTGCAGGAGAGGTTCGGAAAGGCACAGCAGCAGGCCGAACGGGTGATGTAAATACAGGGGGTGCAGGGGGAGTACTCAGATGGTGAACAGAGCTTCCTGTTTTGACCCCATTTGCTGGTGAAAGCATAGTGGGATATTTTGTTGAAGAGGAAGGGGCCTGATCTTGTTGTAAATCAGGCAGAGGAAATCTAGGTGATCCAGGGGAGATTGTGGGAGGAGCAGGAACAATTGGACTTTTATCAAGTCTAGACGAACGATAATCCATCATTGCAATTAAAAAATGCACTTAATTGAATACGATGCCAATCGAATTCCACCTCTTGGAAAGAATCAAACGTGCATGATTAAAGCGTTTGCGAATAACTTTAACGCAATGTTCGCCAGAAAAAGCCGAAAGAAAACCTTAAAACCCCATAAACTAACGAAGAACAAGGTTGCATTTTGAAGGAAACACGATTCAAGATATCCACAGTAAATGCAAGGATTGGATCACGATTCAAGAATGCCCCAAAAACTCACCACAATTCACCTCACGAGATAAAAGAAAAAAAAAAGAATTTGATCACTTGGATCTCTATCTTCACCTCAATTCAAGTTTCGATACAATCCCTTCTTTCAAATTCCAAACTAAATTCAAAATTTAAAAATAAAAAGATTAAATCTAGCCTTTTTTTAATATAATAAAAAACAAGGAAATCTCTACTTGATATGAGACGGGAAAAGAAAGAAAGGAGGGTCTGTTAAAAGTTTTAAAGATTTTGGAAAATATTTTTTTCAAAGTTTGGTAAATGTTTCTTTGAAAAATGTTTTTAAAATTTGGTAAAATTTTGGTAGATGTATGTTGAAAATAGGAATGGGTAAATTCACTTTAGTCATTGCACTTTAGGGTATTTTCAAAGATTAGTCCCTAAGTTTCTACTATAAATACCCTTACCCATTTAGCTTCAAAATCATCCCAAAACATTTCTTTCTTCCTATACTAGAGAGCTTTCTTGTGAGTAGTGAGTGTTTTGTAAACACCTGTAAATTTTTTCTCTTAGTAAAAGATCTGCAGCAGCCCGGAGACGTAAGCACAATTGGCTGAACTCCGTTATCAATTTTCGGGTATTATTTTTCCGCTTTTATTTCGCATTCTCACTAATCTGGTTATAGGGAAATTACTTGTACTCGGTTTATTTTCCTAACAACTGGTATCAGAGCTTTTGGTTGTGAATTTTGTCAATTTTTCTGTGAGGTTACTATTCATTACTATTCACGTAAATAGTGAATTTCGTGAATAGTGAAATTTCGGTCGGCGATACGAGTTTGTCGACGGTGGTGTTCTAATACACGGTGGTTCGCAAGAATTGTCATAAACGATCCAAAAGAAGCCAGATTCGAGTGGAAGCGATGGCTGCAGACGAAGGGAATGTGAAAATTGAAAAGTTCGATGGTGCGGACTTTGGCTTTTGGAAGATGCAGATTGAAGATTTTCTGTACCAGAAAAATCTTTATCAACCTCTCTCAGGAAAGCAACCAGAGGGCATGAAGAATGAAGACTGGGCTCTTCT